CCGCGGCCGTGCCCGCGCCGGCGGCGGCCCCAGCGAGGGGCTCTGGGCTCTGCGCTCCGCGCTCCGCCGCCTCCATGGAGCGCCGGCCGCGCCGCCTCTGATGCCCGGCCCGGCGCGCACCATGGGGCCGCTGTGGCTCTGCTGCCTGCCCCTCGCCCTCCTGCCCCTGCTCGCCGCCGTGGAAGGTAAGGGGGGCGCGCGGGGGGCGGGGGCCCTGCGGGTAGGGCGAGCCCCCTCCGGGTTTTCCCCGTTTTTTGGGGGGTGGCACTTTGCCCCCTGCCCCCCTCCCCGCCGCACGCCCTTCGGAGGGGAGGCGAAGTTTGGGGAAGTGCTACCCCGGCTGGAGGTGTCGCCGCCGGAGCCCGGTGTGTCGTGTGTGCCCCCCCCGCCCACAGACCCTCCCGATCGCTGGCCGCGCTTCTCCCCGCCATCCCTCCGCCGGAGCGGGCATCCCTGGGTACCGCGGAGGGTCCCCCGGGGATGCCCGGCATTCACCGCCCCGTGCTCTCGGGAGAGTCTTTGGGGTGCCCCTCCGCCAGGCCTTACCGGCGTTCTGGAGCTGGTGGCCGGCTCCCCGTTGGCGCCGTGGCGTTCCCGGCGTCCCCAGGAGGAGCCGAGCTCCCCGGCGAGGTCCCCGGTGCTCAGACAAAGCAGTGCGAGGCGGCAGGTGGGGAGCTCCTGGGCTGGGTGTGCGGGGACGGCGCTGGCTGGGAGCCCCACGGCGGGGTCTGTGCAAGGGGAGCCTCGTTCTCCTGCTCCCCAACCATCCCAGCCATTCCTGCCTGCTCCCACCCGCCCGCTGCGTGGACACCCTGGGAAGTGCCAGAGAACTGGGCTGGGCAGGGGCGAGGGCCAGGTGTCAGGCCAAAAACCAGCTCGTCCTGGAGCGGCGTGGTCCAGGGATGCCTGTCCATTGTGGAAGGGTCGTGTTGGAGCGGCTGGGTGGCTCCGCCGTCCCTCCGGCTCCGTTGGGCTGGTGGGCAGGCTGGGTGGCCAGTGTTGGCCCTGCGTGTGCCGGGCGGTGGGAGCCACTCGGACGGTGTTTGTCTGGAACATGGATGAGGCACCATTTATTAAGTTGGAGTTTTGGGAGATGACTCATGGGTTGGCCAGCTATACATCGTGATATTTACAATATGGGAGCTTGGCATAAATAGGACTATTTACGTTGCAGCGGAGAGCGCTCGCCAGCTCTGCTATTCAAATGAACCCAGCATGGTTTTAATTATGGGGGGGAGGGTTGGGGTGAGGAGCGTGTTTGTGAGAGCATACGTGTCCATGCAGGACGTCTGGCCCCATCCGCCGGTGGTCTTGACACTTCCAATGGGGTCTGGCTTGGCCGGCGGGGCCCATGCGCACTTGACCATGACAAGCTGATGCTGCCAAGTGTGGCATGCTGGGTGCCTTGGGCAGGGATGGGGTGACATCTCCACCCCACCCTGCTCCTGCTGCTGCCCAAGAGGTGCTGCTGGCTGGTGCTGTGGGTCAGTGACTGGCTCACAGGGCTCCCACGCGTGTTTGTGGAGCCTGAGTAACTTTCCCATCATCATGACAGGAGCGGCAGGCACTGGATGCATGTGTGCCAAGGGATGGGGAGTATATCTAGAAATGAGGGGCTGGCCAGTGCAGGTGAGGTGTTTTACCCACCCGAGATGATTGCTCTAAGGTGTGCTCCTCCACGGATGGGGACGCTCTCAGGGAGATGGTCAGTGCGCTTCCAGCGGCCATTCCAGCCAGGGCTGACTGTGTTGGTTTGGGTTAAGCGTGGTCCCCCCATGCCCCTGCTCTTCTCTTGCCCTGTGTGTGTTATGGGGCTGTGATGGTCACTCTCAGGGTTACTGTGGGCAGCCAGATCCCTCATCTAGCCTTCCAGGAAAAGGCTTCTGGAGAGCTGGCAAGGTGAAAACGTGTGGGATGCAGCTCCTTGGGCGTGCCTCTGCTGCTTCCTTTCTGGAACTGCCTCTTCCCACTTCTTCCAAAGTGCCTGGATGTGGTGTCCACCTGCACCTCTGAATGCTCTGGATCTCTTCGGTGTGGACAGATGGACCCAACAGTAGCTGCTGGCCATGGAGGTGGTGGCTGGACCCACCGTGTTCCCGCGGCTGCAGGGAACCTCCGTGCTGGTGATGCTCTCCATCGCCAGCCCCAGCATATTCCAGGGCCAAAATGGGGGCAGAAAAGCTTGTTCAGGGGAAAACTACAATTCTGGAGGATCCTGCCTCTTGAGTCCTGTTTTCAGTTCTGTCACAGACCGTTTCTGTACTGCTGGTAATTTCACTTGTCTCCTCTGTGCCTCAGTTTTCCTAATTACAAGGCGTAAAATAATCCAAGCATCTTTCCCAAGGGAGCCGCGAGGTTTTGTTAATGAACATGACAAAGTGCTTTGGGATCCGTGGTTGAAAGCGCAGCCTTAGTCAGTGCGGCTGTGTGTGGGGTGTTTATTTATCTACATGCTTTATATTTCTCTGCGCGCTATATATTCACTTGCATTTAACAAACCTTAATTAGAAACAAAGCCGATAGGGAAGGAAATATAAACAGGAGTGTGCATGGAAATTGGAAGTTGATTGCTCACTGGCCAGCAGAATGCATGGTTCGGGCTCGGGAGGCAAGGCTGTTTGGTTAAAACCGGCTCTGTTAAAAGGAAATGTAAAAAGAACGTGAAACATAAATCAGTATGGAAAACAGGGAGGTGGATGACAACATACATAAAGCAGAGGTTAGGAATTGCCTATAGTTGTGAAGGCGGTTGGAAGGTAATGTGTCTGCAGCTGAGAAAGTTCAGGCTTCTCAAAGGAAAGTTTTTTGTGTGTTTTTCAAAAAAAAAACACAACAAAACCCAAACCAGAAAGTCAAGAACAAAGGAGTCCTGGAAGGGTCTGGATCCCACACCAGTTGGTAACGCCGCTATCGCTAACGGCCCCGCTTTGTATTCCTGCTGCGTAGGCTGCGCGCCGATCGCAGGACTGACACTCCCGAGGTATTTTGGGGGGAGCTGGGAAGGACATGGAGGTATTTTAAAATCAACAGCCTGGCTAACTCACGTGCGAGGAGGGAAAACCAACCCGATGGTGCTGTTCACCCCGGTGGAGTTAACTTTTCACAAACCTTGCGGTGCTGGCAAGCTTCCCGAGGACTGGAGGAGAGCCAGCCCTGTGCCAAAAATGCAAAAGGAGACATGAGATGGCCCTGCTATCAGTGAGGGTGTGGGCAGCACGGAGCCAGCAGTACGGAGGCAGCGACAGGCTCCAATGGGCGATGGAGAATTGCCCGGCACGAGTTTTGCTGAGAAACAGGATCATGGGTGAGGGGACTCAATTTTGAGCATCAGCTGTGCTGAGCAATCCTAATCCTGAGCCCAGTCTCGTGTTTGGAGAGAGATGGTGGAGCAGGAGGGCTGTATCCCCTCCTGGGGTATTCCCAGGGTGTGCTGTGGCTGAGGTGCTGGACACGGACATCCCTGCCCATCCTCCAAGCAAGCTGGAGACAGAACTTCAGTGCTTCTGTGTATTTAATAATGAATTATAATACACATAATATTTATGGCACTCTCAGACACATGGTGGGATTGTTGGGGGGTCCTGTGCAGGACCAGGATTTGGACTAGATGATCCTTTTGGGTCCATTCCAATTTGGGATATTCTATGATTCTGTAGTATACCGTATATTTAATTTCACTTATGCAGTAACATATTGCAATGTTAAAACATAGTCTCTTCCCCTGTACCTATGTTGAGCACCTCCACGTGGGGTGTGGGGAGATGCCAGGGACACAGGGTTGCTTTGGGCCTTTGTGTATCCATCTTTTTGGGTCTCCATAGAGGAAGACTTGAGTCATCCCTTCAGGGTTACAGTCACACCGGGGCATTGCTTTGACCTTAGTGCTCCATGGAGGTGGATGTTCCCGGTGTGCCAGGACCATGGGAGCTGCAGCAGCCTCCCAGCAAGCCTAGCATGCTCCAGAGGGATGTGGCAGAACAGCGGATCCAGGGAAAAACACAGGATCTGTCAAGACCTGATCCCTCCTGCGAGCTTGAGCTCCTAAGAGCAAAAGGGGAGCAAATGTTTTGGGACAAGTGGGACTGAGGAGCAGAGCAGAGCCTGTGGTTTTGGTCTGGCCCTGTGCCACCCGTCTTCCTCCTGCTGCTTTCCCCTCCCCTCCATTTCCTGGGTTAATTTTTGACAAGGCACATTCCTTGCACCCACCTGCCCTTTGCATTATAGGGGCAGCAAAAGGGAAAGCTCCTTTTGGAGACCAAATAGATCAGTGCCTCTTTCAAACATCCATGTTGCTCCCTTACTACACTGTTCTCTGTCTTTTCCAGGTGGAAGCAGCAGTCCTCTCAGTACCTGCTGACTTCCAGCTTCTCTGGGTGACAGAAGCCTAGGGAGAAGATGCTGTAGGGAACAAGGGCTCGGGGTTGGTGTGGCCACTGATGTTCCCCCACTCCTCGGGTCATCCCACAGAGGGTGTGAAGGGGACACGGCTGTGCCTTGGGGATGCTGTGAGGGGTTTGGGGCTGTCCCCAGGGATGGGAGCAGCCGTCCCCTTGGAGACAGGCTGAGGACCTGCCTGCACTAGTCAGGGCCCTTTGTGTGCACATACCTGAGCTGCTGGAAAGAGGGGTGGGCACTCAGGAAACTGCTCGAGGAGCTGGGTAAATAGTGGAGGCTGTGACAGCTCCCGAGGCCTGAGTGCTTTAGGGTGAGGGATGAATGAGAGCCTGGCCCTCCACCCCTGCCCCAAAACGTGCCTGCTCCCCCCACACCAGCCCTGCTGGGATAGGAGTGAGGGTGGCTCTGGCTGGGAGTGGGGTTCCCATCCTGCCACAATCCATTTTTACCGAGGAAGAGCCCTGTCAGCTCCCACCCTGGTTTGTAATCCCTCCCATACCTGGATCTGGTTTATAGAGAGACCGGGGCAAAGCACAGCTGCCAGTTGGATCTCGTTGGGATGGGGGGAGCAGGAGATCCTCCGAGGCAAAAGTTCAGCCGTTAGATAAGGGAGAGGATGGGGCCTCCTGTGATAAGGGTTGAGTGTGGTGTGGGCTGGGCGGGAGGGAGGGAGAGGCAGCACGGGGGAGTTCCCAGGGGCTCTGCCCGGCCTGTACCCCGGGATGCAGGGAGCACTGGGGAGCACTGGGAATGCTGGGGTGGGCAGGGACCTCTCGAAGGCCAGGTGACA